AACTGATTGCAGCATCTGCTTTGTGGTTCTCACTGATGTTGTATAATACATAAAAAATATACAAAATCGAGTAAGGGACAACAGGGCTTGACGGAATTGTGTCAATGAATCATTTGAATAAGTTGGTTAAATGTAAGTCAACTAACAGAGAAAATAGGCGATTCAATGAACTGCCATTAGTTTATTTGTCTTTAAAATAGCTTTCAATGAGAGCCAATGCTTAAGTAACATAATATTCACTTTACGCCAATGAGATTTTTATTTAAGATTGCTAACAAAATTTCGATTAGAGACCAAAATTCCAATTAATTTAAAGTATTACATTATTTCCAGGAAAAGTGAAGTGAAGAAGTGAAACATTAGAAATTAAAAATTGATTTAAATTACATACAAATATTATTTATGAGAAATATAGTCTCATTAAGACTTGTTTTATTTTTTTATAATAAGAAAAACCTCAATTCTTGCATAAGCTTTTATCTCAGTTATATGGTTCTATATTAGTGGCAGTATATCGACCCAATTCCCTCTACCGAGCTCCACAATCGATTTCATTTGGTAATCCAATATGGTTTGGGGGCGGCTTTTGACTTTATTGGTGGTTGAATGCGGATCCACTTCTTAACCCACTTACGACGGCACCCTTTGACCTCGACAAACAGCTCATCAGACTTGAATTTAATTGTTTGTTTTCTTAGTTTATTGAACGGCGGCCGACGGACGTTCGACTGACAACCAGTTGGTCAGTTGGGCACATTCCGTTGATGCACTTAATGTCCATGGCGTGTTTTTAATGGCCATCGTTTTGTCTGGTGAGTTTAATTAACTTCGCTTTAAGCCCAGTGGCCAGCAGCACATGGTACTTTTTCTAATTTATAACCAAGCTGGCAAGACGCCGCGTCCAACGTCCAACACCAAAGCAAATCCCAAAGTCGTTTATTTGTCCTTGCTGCCAGCCATTTTATTTATTTTGTTCGCATCGGATCGCGCCGCGTCTTGTGGCAAATACAGGCCAGGCTACACCAGCTTATGGATGGTACAGAATATGTTATGTGTGTGTGTGTGTGCGCTTTTCTCCAGCTCTGGGCAACTAAAAACCCATAACTATATGTTTTTCTGACACATTTTAAAAGTGCGCCGCAAGTCGCATGCAATTTATTGTTATTGCGTTTTGCACTCGTTTTTCTTTTTTCTCTGTGTTGCTATTTTTTCTTTGTCCTCTCTCTCTCTCTCTCTCTCTCACTCCCTTTTTTGCTTGTATTTTTCGCAAATCCAAGGACATTTTGTTGTGCATTTGTGTTAACCTAATATGCTTGTAATTGCCAACCAAAAAAAAACGGGGAAAAAAATAAATAAAACAAAAAATAGAACAGTGTTCGCTCGGGTTTTTGTTGTTGCTAGCGTCGCTGCTGTTGCTGCTGTTTCTGGCGCACAGCTTGTTAGTGAAAGTTGCGAAAATAACCACTCGAACTAGCAACTCTATTGTCCGCCATTTCGTTTTTGAAAATAAAAGTAATATCCTATACCGGAAAGGGTTATAGTACTTTGCTTGTCAATTTTGATCATTTAAATTACTTAGATATAAATGTCTAAATATATATTTAAAAAATTTAAATATAGTTAAATATAAAATTTAAATTTAAATATAAAATATCAATAAAATAGATAATTTACTTTCCCTTGGGTCATTTAATAATTCAATTATATTTAAGTAATTAAGTAATTTAAACTATCAAAATTCAAATTCGTAACTAATTCTTTCAACATTTGAATATTATGGTTTTACTTTAGATTCAAATTGATAATTATATGAATTTTATATATCATCAAATTAAAATGTTTAAATAACTTTAAATATATTTTTATTTAAAGCTATTTACCATGATTATGACAATCATCAGTTTGTAATACTTACTTAAGCATAACTGTAAAAATTGCCATTCCCTTTTATTTTTATAAATTAAACGTTTCTTGAATTGGTAAATTTTGGTAAATTATAAAAAAAAAATAATAAGATTTAAAATAAAAGTTTAGTAAATTATATTAAAAAAAAATAATAATAATAATGATAAGATAAAAACAAACCCTAAAAGTATAAAAAATTCGTTGTAAAAGAAAACAAATTGTTTTGTAGAGCATACATATGTCGTCCTTCAGTCGTGCGAAAAGTTCTGCTTTGTTTCTCTTGTTTTATTCAGGCAGCTTTTTCTCCATTTGGTCGCTTTAATTTGTTGGTCAGCTTACAAATTTTTATGGCGCATTTTAATTGACGCTGATTCAGCGCCTGAGTCCAAACATGGCACATGGCTGCGCTTTATTTACGGAATATTTTTCTTAACCCAATTTATGGTGAAATTTGTGTGTATGGGTAATTAATTGGGTTAATAGTGCGCGCCCATGTCCGTCTATGCAAAGCAAATGACTCTGGCATTTTAATCATATTACAATCGATTTACCACAAATCACTTTAAAATATACATAGATAGCTAATCAGAGACACTCGTAGCAATCGGCCAATTTCGAAGACAGCAAGCAGATACTTCTTATGCTTGTGGGAGTCGGTGGGCAGGGGAAGGCAGCTTCTGTTTCAACCCTCGAGAAAACCTCGACACGTGTCAGTGTCGCTGTCAATAGATGTCAAGAGCATAGAAAATGGAAATCCTAGTGCGTACATAAACTGCCTAGACAAGCCTACTTAACTACTCACTCAACAAGCGACACTCGATCCATGTTGCAACTGCGTCATATGCCATAGTATATGCTCCTCCCGCCACCGGCTCCTGCAGCGTTCTACCCACACATCGCATGTCAGTTGAAAATTAAACCTTTCACTCAACTCGAATTCAATTGTTGTTGGTTTTTGCCAACGCGCGTCTTCGAAATCGAAATCTATAACGCACGAAATCAGAAACTGTTCGCCATAAAGTGGGGTTGTTTCTATCCGACCTTCCCCGTCGCGCCAGCTAACGTGTGTGGTTTGAGAATTTGGGCTAAACGCATTACACACGACGAGCAGCAGCGAGAGACATGACGAGCCTGACGCTGGCGCACTTGAAGCAGACATTTTATTTGTAATATGACAGCACTTCATATCCTTTTCCAATGATATTAAGAGGCAGCCGAACAACAGGAAATTATGCACGTCAGACCTGTCTGCTTATGTGTAATACTCGTACCAGGTTTTCAGACCAGCTCATTTTGCCCGCTGGCCCTTCGTCAGTTATTTGGTTAGCCCGTACCTCGTCCTCCTCCTCCTCTTGCTTCTCCTCTTCTTACTTCTCCCGCTCCCCCGCTGTCATGTTTGTCAGGTTTTACGGGGTCTTTGCATACTTGATTGCATTTCCGTAAATGAATTGTTGGTCTTGATGAGGGAACAGATGTGCGATAGATGCGAGATAACGATATTGTTTATATTGATTAGGAGCACATTTTCATTAAAAGTAATCCTATATCGTGTATATTTTTAAATAATATTAACATTTCAATTTGTGTAAATTGGAATTTTTTTTAATTTAATATTTCTTTTTTATTTTATTATTTTATATTATTTATATTATATTTTATATTTTTTATTCTGCATATTATATTATGTCTTTTCAAGTTTTAGATCATTATAAAATATTTATATTTTCTCAATTACTAAATAATATATTTTATTTTATTTTATTTTTTATTTTTTTTTTTTTTAAGTTTACTCCTTTGCATACCCATTAAAAATCCTTTTATAAAAATTTTCCACATATTCATTTGACATTTTTCAACAGATTATTTGTCGCATTCTTCATAAATTCCATTCTTTTTGCCATGCACTCGCATATTTTTTAAAGTATGCTCCCTAGGTATGTCATCAGTCATAACCTCAGACTGTCGACGTATTTACTTAACTTTGGCACACTCCGTTTTGCTCAATATCAAATGTTGATTGTGTTTACCATTTCATGGTTTCATTTACGGCACTTCCCCTATGCTGAGCGACGTCCAACTTCCCACTCTCCTTCTTCTTCCCTTCGCTTATATTGTCATTTTCAGTCATGCCTCAACGTTTGCTGTTGATCCCCCCACAGTTTTTGTTGTACCGCCCATCTCTTTGCGTCCTGTTTACGTAGATGGGGTTGTGACTGAAACAATAATACAAAAATATAAAGCTTCCAACTTCAGCTGCTGCTGCTATTGCTGCTGCTGCCCTCAGGGCGCTTTAGTACTCGGCGGACTGACCACTTGCCAGCTTCCAAACGTAAAGTAAAATCTGTTTGGCACCGGCAATGGCCTTAAGCAAGAGACTATATAATCGCTGCACACGAAACTGAATCGTATATACCCTTAAGAGCTAAAATAAAGTATGTAAGCGCCATAATTGAACTGAACTACAGAACAATCGTATTTGGGATTTAATATCGAAAGAAAAGAAATATGAAAGAATGCAAATGCGAATTCGTTGAAAGAATATATTTTTTGAAGTACTTAAATGTTAAATAGAACTTTTCTATTTATTTATGATCAATTCATCAGCAAATAAATATGTCTCAATGTTGCAAACTTCTTGATCAAGTTGCGAATGCCTTCTTCAATGGCACAACAATAATAATCTTCACATGCAACCCCTTTTGATGTGAGGCGCACAGCAGGCAATGGCAAAATGTCAGAGGTCGAGGTGGGCGGAGCAGTTTGTTTGACAGCGACGCTCATTTGAAATGCATGCGACGACAGGATTGGGAATGGGCATGCGAATGGGTAATGGGTAATGGGCATGGGTATGGGCAGAGCTCTGAGTCTGCTTGGCACGAAATTGTGGCAACGACGAAGCAATCAGCTCGTGTCAGCAAGGAGCATATCCTGCCTGACTGACGCTGACGCTGACTTTTCCTCGTCGTTCGGTTGGCTTTTTGGCCTGCGGAAGTGTTTGTTTATTTAATTTCAGGTATTTTTAATTGAATTCTCAATGCTGCCACACAGATTTCTGATGCAAAATCTCTTACTCTCACTCCTCTCTTTACTTACAGAAGCTGCATAATTGGACCCGAGCTGAGTGTTAAAGTCTGTTCCATTGGAACTGTGATAAACCGTTCGGCCTATGCGTCGGACTATTGCCAGCTAGAAGGCACAACGGGCCGACAGACACAGCCAATGCCCATACGCTGGATGGCCTGGGAGAGCGTCCTGCTGGTATGTATACACTACCGACTTATGAAACTTTATACCCCAACATACCCAACAAGTTTGAATTGAGTTTAACAAATGCACCTTGTTCACAATATTTTCTCTTATTCTTGTTATTCTCAGTTTTGCTTTGCTCATTTACTGCATGAACTGTGCACCGAGGCACAAGTTTATAATTATAAATTAATGAACAGTGTTAGCTCTTCCTCTCCCTTACTCTCTCTCTCTCTCTCACTCTTTCTGCCTTACTTTCTGTCTTACTCATTGGTTAGGTCCGAGCAGTCAGTGATAGGTGAGCGACGAGGTGGTCAATCCTTCAAGCAGCTTGACAGCAAAATGAGTTGTAATTGTGTTAATTATTTTTAATTTGCTTTTTCTGCTGCCTCTTTAAGCAGGCGATTTATGTCAGTTACCTTTTCCGGTCTTCAAGCTCGCCGCGCCACATTATAATAAGTCTATTACAATAGCG